AAGGTCAGCAGTTCGAAACCACCAGCCTCTCTGCAGGAGAAAGATGAAGTTTTCTGTCCCTGTTCCATGGCAGTGAGAGCGTGTCCTCTTGTCTCCTAGAGGTTTGCTGCTTGGCTTTGACAGTCATGGGCCTTCCTTAAGACCCACATGACAATAGTGTGCCTTTTCCATAAGGCTGAGAAGTGACTGTTGGGGTGTAGCTAGTTCTCTGAATCCATCCATTTCAATCCGGAAAGACCTTGTTATTTAAGGTCATCTCACTGCTGTCTGGTTATAAAGACCCTCTGGGGGTATATTACCCTGAGAATGATTTGATTCTGCATTTCTCGATGCTGGGTTTATCTATCACCCACCTTTTACTATTCCTGTGTGGAGCTCAGCAAGTATAAATCAATAAATATAAATTAATCATGACCAAGGAGCTGGCTGGTGGATTGAATTTAAATAAAAACCTCGATGTTGAGGGCCCTGGTCTAATTCTAAGCATCTTCCTAGATTTGAGCAAATGACGCTGCTGATGTGATCTAGCATGGGTACAATTGTATTTCATACCAGGTTAAAGATGTGATGTATTTTTCATCTTCCCCCAAACCCCACCCCACCCCTGAAAGTGAATGGTGAAGGCAGAGGCTTGCCCGTATATTACCAGATACTTAGCCCGACATCAGTAGTTGCTCGAAGCAAAAGAAAGAGCTGGAACGCAGAGGCAGCAGAAGCTGTGAGAGCCAGAACGCAATGAGGTGGCCTCTGTTCTTGGGTCTCAGAAGTTTTCTGCTTTTGACAGAGTACCCAGACTCAAAACTATGCTTACTGCCATCACTTCCATTCCATCGCAGAGACACTGATTCACTGCCGTTAAGTCATTCCGAAGCCCTGCCCCTGTAATGCAGAGTAGAGCTGCCCCTTTGGATTTCCAAGGCTGCAAGTCTATAGGGGAACATCTTTCTCCCTTGAAGCACCTGGTAGGTTTGAACCGCTGACCTTGTAGTTTTAACTTGGTAGGGTACGCTCTCCACCTTTTCAATCCCGCTCGAGCTCTGGTGGCATAGTGGTTGCCTGTTGGACTTGTAACCTCAAGATAGACAGTTCAAAACCACCAGCCAATCCTCAGGAGAAATAAGAGGTTTTCTACTCCCGTAAACAGTCTTGGAAACCCGCAAGGACAGTTCTACCCTGACCTATCATGTCGCTATGAGTTGTATGAGCTGGAAAACATCTGAGTTTCTTCTTGACACCGTATATTGTTTCTAGCTTTGGTAGGTGTACCATATTATCAGAAGGTTGCTTACAAAGGAAATTCCCTATCAAGCATATTATTTTCATGCCAGTTCCCAGTCTGTGGAAGGGAATAGAAAGGGTGACAGTGCCCTGCCAGGCCTCAGCTCTCCCCGCCTCTTGAATAGCAGCTATGCCTGCTCTTGTCAGCTCTGAGCAGCCAGGGTTCTTGGTGCCACCCCTCTGCTTTCTCAGAGGTCCTCTGCCACACCTGGCCTGATGCCTCGCTGGGTTGGCTTTCTGTTTGCTTCTGTTAGAAACGACCAGAAAGCTGGCTGATTGAAACAACCCTGAGTTGCAGTTGGACCGGTCTTTAAGCTAAAATTCCAACCTGGGCCTCACTGAGCTAAAATCTAGGAGTTGGCCAGGCTGCATTCTTTCCTGGAGGCCCTAGGGGACAATTGGTTTCCTTGCCCTTTCCAGCTTCCAGGGGCCATCTGCATTCCTTGGCCTGCCACCCTCTTCCTGCATCTTCCCAGCCAGCACTTCTGGGCCAGGTCCTTCTTACACTTCTCCACACTGCTCTTTCGCTTCCCCTTCCCTTTTCAAGGAATCTAGTGATTACATTGCGGCCGGACCATCCTCTCTTCCTATGGTTACGCGTCACCGTTCTGACTCACAGCGGCCACATAGGACCGAGTAGAACTACCCTAGCGGGATTACTGGGCTGAAATTTTACAGGAGCACATACCTAGTCAGGTCTTCTCCCACAGAGCAGCTGGTAGGGTCCAGCTGCTGACCTTTCATTTCAAAACAAAGCACTTGGCCATTGCAAACCAGGGTTCCATCGATGACCTTGACCCCCCCCTTCTGTAATCTAACGTAGTCCGAGTCTTGGGGAATAGGATGGCAACATGTTGAGGGGTCACTGTTCTGCCTGTCACAGTCCACTGAAGTGAACAGCTCAGATCTCCACTTCTCTCGGTGTTAAAAGTATGTGTGGCCAAGGGTATGGGCTCTGAAGTCAAGCTGCCAGTACGACTCGTGGCTGTTGACTTAAGTCAGAGGAGCCAGAGTCACCGTGCTCCTTGGGGTTTCCACAGGCTGGATTTTTGGAAGGAGATGTTCAGGGCTTTCTTCTGAGGCAGGTCTAAGCGGACCGCCCACCTTTTAGGGAGCAATCAAGCAGGTTACTGTTGGCATTTCTCAGACACTGTGCCGTGAGACTTCCTGGGCTCAGATCTTGTCTTAGATTTTTTTTTCCTTCCTTCTAGTGACTATTTCATCTGATAATCAGGGTCAGAGTAAAATCTGCTTTCTGGGGTTCTTGTAAGGATGTTAGCTAAAAAAAGAAAGGAAAGAACAAAAACCAAATGAACACACATAGAAAAAAAAATAACATCCAACCTTTCCCAACTCGGTCTTCTTCCCTAGCCTGTCGGGTTGAGGGCAAGCCGAAGCGAAGTGGGGAGCAGGCAGGAGGGAGGAGGAAGAGGAGCGAGTAGAGAAGAGGGAGAAAAAGGAACAACCCTTGGGTAATACTGAGCTGTGTCCCAAGGGCAGGACAGTTATACAAGTTCAGTGTTGAATTCCCAGCAGGCAGCAGTGCTTTTTCTATGTACGCCTAACAACAAGCACTTGCTTTTGTAGCGAATTTATCACTGTTTCACAGCAAATCAAACCTCCTTTCAAGGGAACTCAAAGGGATTATCCAAATATGGTCATCCCAAATCTGAGCCTGAAAGAAGTGGGTATCAACAGGCTCTTGGATTGAATGGTTTCATGTGGCCCTTCTCCCATTCTTGCGTGTTTTTCATTTTGCCTCTGTTCAGTTTGACTGATTTTCTTCTGATTCTACCATGCCTGTACACCCCCATTCAAGACGTGGCCACAGACACAGACTGAGGGTGTGGAGCAGGCTGGGTTGAGGGGAAAGGGTGGTTTCCTTGTTTGTTTGAAGAATGAACAGACACAGGAAAGTGCTGCACCAAACAGGAAGCCTTGCTGACCTGCTCCCATCCTCCAGGAGTTAGGGACTGTGGGGCTAGCGCAGGCCTCAGGGTTGCCTGGGAACTTTCTCGTCAGTTGTAGAGTGGCTCGTTTTAAGAGAAGAATCCTGAGGGAAAGCACACACTGAGATCTAAAAACAATTGCTGTCTTACTTATCTGCTGACGTTACTGGAATTCTAGCCAGAACTGTAGATTGTAGGCTACAAGGATATGGAAATGTCCACTGTGGACGTTAGAAGGTACAGAAACCTAACTCAGACTGGCATTAGCTTCAAACACTACTTACTAAGCTCAGGTAACTAAGAAGAACATAATTAGATTTGTCTTTAGACTTGGCTGGATCCAAGATTTGAGGGACGACCATCAGAACTCCTCTCTCTTGCCATCTCCTGGCTCTGCTTTTTCTCTGTGGACTTTGTCCCCACGTAGGCTCTCTCTCACCGTGGCATTAGGGGCTTCAGCAACATGAGGTTTATTGTATTTAATGGCTTATCAGACCCCAGGGAAGAAGAGCACTTCTTCGAGTCTCGTTTCAGTAGTGGTCCCAGAGCGGGTGCTCCTTGACCGTTACGGGTTACCTGCCAATTCCTTATCAGATCATGGTGGGCATAACTGCAGTCATTGGAGGAGGGTCATGCCATGTTCCCAAGAACACAGAGCACTGCCATCCCATTGAAAAGGAAAAGGAAGGAATGAAGGCAGCAGTTGCAGCCAGGGTGAAGCTGAGGAAGTTCTTCATGACTGGCCCTTAGAGGCCAGGAAATGGTTCAAAGGAGTGGGTTTAGCAGAACTGCCTGGATCCTGATCCCAAATCTGCTACTCATTAACTATGTGAATGAGCCTGCATTTCCTTCAGGCACTGTGAACACACGCACACACATAGGCAAGGTGTGCATACTTGAATCCTTACTGTAGAATGCTGGTGAGGCCGTTCCTGGGGGAATCAGGGATGCACAAGCACAACGTCTGCGTACTCTCACCTAGTCCATAAACAGGAGCTCCTGCCGCCATTCTTTTCCTTGACTTGAATACAGAGTGCCGATGTAGGCCGATCAGTGTTCCAGGCAGCATTTCTGGGATCTCATTGTAAAACTCAAGACTGGAATCTGGAAACTGAAACTTGAAGTGTTTCTTCAAGGATCCCGGTTAATTTTTTGTTTGTTTGTTTGTTTGTTTAACTCTGTGTACGGTATAAAAGAGTATGTATGATGTGTGCAGTTTCCAAATCACTTTCGTGTTTATTTCTTGAGTTCTAACGATGCTGACAATCCTGATATTGATTGAGACTTCACTGTGGGCCCATGTTACTGGGGAAGAATTAAGGCACAAACAGGTTAACGTGCTCAGAGTCACCCCGCCACTGGAAAAATGGAGATCTGCATCCAGACAGTCGGACCCCAGACCTGGGGGTACACTGGGGGTACACTGTCGATCCCTACACAGCTCCTGATCCTCTTTAAAGTTGGGTTGATCATTTTCTAGCTCTGGCGACACAAACCATGAAGGGTTGGCCTACTAACTGAAAGTCTCTCCGTTGAAGCCCAGTCAGAGGCACAGCGGAAGAAAGGCCTGACTCTCTACTTACAAAAAGTCACAACTCTACCACCTCATGCAGCACAATTTTACCACAAAACACAGGGGGGTCTCTGTGAGTGGAAACTGAATTGACAGCTACTGTGAAGCATGGTTTGGGGTTTGGATCGTCTCCTAAGGGGTGGTGGAAGCCGAGCTCTTTCTCGTGAACCTCTCATATCCATGTTGTTTGTATTCCCTAGGTGTTTTTCCAGGTCGGATCACCTGGCCCTCCATATGAAGAGACATATCTGAAGACCGACAGGCCAGAATCGTCATGGCGTCGGCTGCTGTCTGAAGGAAAGGCCGTGAGGCAGGGGACTGGACTTCAGGCGGGGACCCAGTGCCTCGCAGAAGAAAGTTCTCACTTATAAACCTCTGTGCACACACACACTCACACAGATACACGCACATCCCCACTGTCATGCACTCAACTATATTTAAAATATATACGTCTATTCTCTACGCCTTGCCCTAGCCAGATGGTAGAAGATGGAGACAAGGCAAGCAGGTGAACTCAGCAGGGCAGACGGGCTGCCTACTCAGCACTATTGGAACCACTCCCCCGTTGTTGCCAATGGAAATCAAAGAACTTGGATGTGTTGTCTCGGCAGGTGGATGGCAGTAAGAGGGCCGATTCCATGCGCTTCTCAGTGCAGCCAGACGGGAGGACACAACGTCATAAAGTTGCGTGTGTGTTGCAGTGACGTTTCTTTTGAAATAGTTGAGGGAAACCTGACCTAGAAAAACCAAATTGCAGTTTGGTAGCCAAAATGAACTCTTGGTTTATTTGTCCTTTGTGTGTGAAAAGCCCTACCGCTCCGTGCGTCAGTCAGACTTCCTCACGGGACTCTTGATCGGTTGGGTTCTTCTTAGCACGCTCGAGATCTTTCGAGTCAATACCAACGGCCTTAGTGGCGGCAGACTCCGGAATGACACCTATCACCTTTCTGGCCTGCATTTCTCTAGACTTCACTCTAAAGGGAGGAGTTGGTTTTTTTATTATTTCTGTTTTTTCTTACTTTGTTGACTCTTGCACACCATATGCACTAGGGATTCCGGAAACTTCTAGCATGACTGCAGAGTGGCCAAGAGGATAAAGTCCTTGATGAAAATGACAGTCTATCCCTTGAGCCTCACCTTTATTGCCAGTGCTAGATTTTTTCTTTTTAATCTCTCTGTTTTTTGCTAACGAAAACTTGAAAAGCTGATTTGGAAGCTTAAATGTTTTACCTTTTCTCCATGGACTAACCTTCTCCGGGACCGTCTCGGCACCTGGAGGCCCAGCTCTCAAAGCAGCCAATCAGATGGGACATCGCGTTCTCATCCTCCTTGCGGCACGATGACCTCAGCTCCGAGTCATCGACCACTGTGTTGTGTGTCATTGCGACCCTAAAACCAGTCACCGCATAGATGTCGCTAGTCTCAAAGGGCAGCTGCATATATAACCTAACTTTGGGTTACCACCTGACAAAAGCCAAAAATACGACTCTTTCCAGGAGTGGGGGAAACGGAGGATTCCTCCCAGGTCTAGGGGCTTCACCAAACATCATCCAAACGCCCTCTCTCACATGACCCCCAGAGCTCATAGGACCCTACCTGTTAAAATGCACACCTCAGAAATGCCATGGTGGGAAGGAAGGGTTGACCTTTCAGGAAAGGGTTGAGGTGTCTCTCTCTTGGGCAAACGGGAGAGACGTCTTTCTAGAACTTTTTGGCGGGGTCCACCATGACTTGTGATGTAGGACACCCAGGACCAACAGAGGGCTCACTTTCACTCGGCAAGCTGACTCCAGGGGTTGACCTTCCTCACTTTCCATCCCACCCCCACCCACCCCATGTCGGTTTCCATCTACCCTCGTTCTTAGCGAGCTGGCTCTGGCCTCAACTCCAAAGACTGCCTTTGGGACCATCCAATGGCCTATGCAAGCAAGCGGGGTGGTTATTGGGACAGATTGTATATTTTGTATATTCTGGGACCATCCCTTCAAGACATGTCTCAAACACACAGATGGCATTTGGTCCACCCGTGGTTGCTGCTCCTTTCTCCCAGCTGGCTTCCCTCCTGTTGGACTCACTGACTGTTAAAATGCCACCCTGTGTACACTGGGGATGCAAAACAGAAGTCATTGAAAAGGAAACCATACTATAAGAAACACAAACCCACACATGACAGCAACCTTCAAGATCCTTGGCATTTTGGTTCTTCGGCTTTCTGCATCTTTTGATTTCTCTGACATGTTGAAACCGCTCATCGCAGGGTAAAGAAGCCTCTGTATCACCAATGCTGTACATAACCAGTTGGATATCTGTGGCAGTTCGAGGTCTGGCCCTTAGAATCGTCTTCTCTTGTTTTCTTTTGTCAATTCAGACCAAAAAAGGGAAAAAGAAGTGAATAAAAACACCCACCCTAAAACACACAAAATCTACCCACTTGCCGGAGGCAATTTCCTATATGTTAGTTGGAAGGTATTAAAAGGAAATCAGTTTTATTCCAAAGATTGAAAAACCTAGACATAGAAATAATTTCTGGAGCACTGCTTGCTGACAATCTCGTAGTTATCAACTGCAGTTGAGTGCATTTAATGGCCATGAGGGCGTCCAATCGTTGAATGTGTGGTACCTCCTTTCTGGATGAAGGGTATGGGAGGCGTCTGGAACCTCAGCCGCATTAACCCGCAGCACCTCCAGTCAGTGCACTAGACGAAACTTCAGACTAACTAGACTGTGTTGCCTCTTTTGTTTTCCCCTCCCGAGCAGCCTCCAGTGTGAATGCACGCACACCACTGATGGTATTTCTTGGCCCTGACTGCCAAGACTTAGAAATGTTCTCTCCAGGGCTGGAGCTGCTCTTGTTAGGTGTTTAGAATACTTAAGTTGATTTTTGAACTGACCAATGCAAGGATGTATGACAAGGAAAGTTTTTGGTTGTTTTTTTTTGGGGGGGGGGGGGGCGAGTAAGAAAGAGAGTGCAAAAGAGTGATCACTGTGTGCTGCCCCTTGGTCTTGACAAGACATCATTCGAACGGGTGCAGAACAAAGGCCCTTTGGTCCTCAGTGTCTGAAATGTGTGGTAACTTCGCTTGCCTCAGTGAGGTCCTTTGTAATCGGCCCCAGCCTTCCTCAGAGCAGGGGGGCCGCTGGTGGTGCTTGCTGGCTTTGGGGTCGCTTGTTGACATTTTGAATAGGCTGGAGAATTTGGTGGGTGCTAAGTGGATGGTTTTGAACCTGTTCTTCTGGGAGGATTGACACTTGTGAATGATTACCTGTTCTACCCAAGCTCCTCCCCCCTCACCCTCCCCCGTCTCCTCCCCCTCCCCCTCCCCCTCCTCCTCCTTCTCCTTCCTTACAAAAGGATTTGGAATAAAATGGCATCAGCTGTGAGAAGGCAGACAAAATGGGGGGCCAGATCTGCACTAGAATGAACGGAGCATTCCAAGAGCTTACCAGAGGGTGCTTTGCTCCCCAAAGGACTGACTGGTTATTGGAAACCATGCTTTCATGGGCATTTGAAACCCAAGCCCAAGCCCCTTTCTCATTGAAATCATTATCCCCTGACATCCCAGGGGACCCCCAGTTTGAAAGGAAAATCCTGGCCTGGTGTTTCCGGTGGCTGTCCTCTTCAAAAGCACGCTTTACTCCAGGGTTTAAGAGTTTGATGTGTGAAGAGTGTTTCGAAGCCATTGACAGTTTTGTTGAGTTCAAGTTTCTCTTTTATCTCTGACCACGTGGCTGTCAGTTGAAGCCGTGGACGCCTGAAAGTATAATGCTGCTCTCAGCTACTGGCTCCCTCCTGGAGAACTGCCCAGCTGAATGCCTGGTGGTGATGAGTATTATGTCCAGAAAAAGAGCTGTTTGGATTCCATGACAAAGCTTCATTTTATAAAATATTGGAGACTGCCCCCTCCCCCCTCCAAATGAACTTGATGCTGGCCATTTTTCCTCTGTGCGCTGTCCCGGGCAAAGCCCTTCAATCCCCCTTCTCTGGATGCCACCGTCTCCCATCCTCCACCTCCTGTGTCCTTATGACGTTGTTGATTGCCTGATTCTAACAGGGTAAGAAGACAGCTAGCCTCATGCAGGATCAGCAAAACAGATTCCTAGTTACACAAAAAAGTTTTTGAATCAATTCTTTGTAGGCAAAGCCCGCCCCCCCCCCACACACACACACACACTAAGGATTTGAATTGGGCATAAATGTCCAGATTGTCCATATCTGTTCAAATGAAAGAGAAAACTACACGGGACTTTCAGGGTGGTCCATCTATACTTTCAGACTGTGTTGCCTGTAGCCACCCCACCCACCCCCATTTCTGAGTTTTGTGGCAAAGACAAAAGAAATGGCCCTGTTCAACTTTGAAGGACAGCAAAGCCCGCCAATTGGTTTTAATGGTTCAAAGTTATCCCCTCTGGGGGAGCCACTTGATACAATGTCAGCCCCCGCAGGAAGTGCGTGTCCTCGGTTGTCGTGTGCTGACCGGAGGAGCAGGAAGAAGGCAGGCAGGTTAGCATTAGCGAGAAGCAACACTTTCAAGCAGGGGGACCAGGCTTCTTGTGTCTTTCCTTGAACTTTGAACCTTAAAGGACCAGCTTTTCGGGCCACAGTTTTTGCCCCCAGATCTTTGCCAAAGTTGAAAATTCATTAAGTAGAACGTGGTTGAAATGTTCTTGTATGTGAAAGGAAATTTTCCCTGGTGTTTCCTGGAAGTGGCCGCCTGCCAAGTGCGGGGGTTCGGGGCTGGGTGTCTGGGTTAGATTTCGGTAAACACGGTGATAGCCTCAGTGTGCAAGCCGGAGGGGCGGCGCGGGTACACACGGACGGACGCCGCCTGGATGGCCTGCGTTCCTCGATGAGGATCTTTGGGAATACTTGAGATGGAGCAACGGAAATGTGCCCAAGGAAGCAAAACCGGCTGTAAATAATGTGGCATCCACGACTCACTGCCTGGGACTTCAGGGTTTTCTCTCCTTTTAAGCCTCTCTTAGACCTCCTCTGTTGCTTTCTGTGGATGGGGAAAGGGAGACTAAGCTGCGATTAACTTTCTCGCGCACATCCTTCCAATAGCGTGCCGTATTCTTCAGGTATTTCGCATTTACCTTTAGCCCTCCTCGGGAAACAGGTGTCGGAATGGAGAAAGAAAACTGAATTAGGCCGTCAGTTCACCAGTATCCTGAACAGAACGACTTTTTTCAAACAGCGCTCCCTCTCAGTGGCAACGAGGGAAGGTTGATAATGTTCTTGGTTAGGGACATTTTCATTGTTTTCGTTTTTTGCAACTGTGAGCTTTAGAATCCTAAATTGCTTTGACTCCAGCTTCTGTCTACTGCCATAGAATGGACCCCTCATCGGAATAAGGAAGGAGGTGTGCACACACACGTAGGCATGCGTGCGTATGTACCTGGGACCTTGACAGAGGGAAGACAGGCTGCTGACCGTTTTAGAGGAGTAGCCACCAGTGCCTAATATCTTTGGGGGGGTGGGGGGTTGTGTGGGGATAGATGCTTGTAATTGCCAGTATATTGAGATCACCCTGGGAGTTCCACACAGAGCGGGCGGAGAATGGACACGTTAATCCTAGGCCTTTGGACTGGAGGCAAAATGATTTCTGCATGTCTAGGTCCTGAAAGGCTTTGGGGCTCTTTGGCTGGTTCCCAGCATTTTCTTTCTTTCATTTTCCCTTCCTTCCCAGCATGCACTTCCTATCTAAACCTCTCTGAACATCGTTTAATTTCTTTATCTTTCACTTCTGCTTCATTCCAAGGAGGGAAAATGCACCTGGTATGACCAAGATCTTCTAACTAACACAGAGGCAAAATTAAATGTTTCATGTTGTAGAAACCTTCCCTGCCTTTCTACACCCCCTCTTCCCCGAGTGCCTCCTCTCGTCACCCACTTCCACACTCAACTGCCCCCTCCCCCCACCCCCCCCATCTGTTAGCCTTGTAACAGTTGCTTGAAGAAATTTGTGTTTGCACTATTCATTTCATTTTGCCCGATGTGTCTAGCAAGTGTGTTTTGGAGAGACCTCCTCCCAACCTCCTCTGCTCACTCCCCTCCCCGGTCACATTCTCTCAGGCCTTCTCTGGTATTTAAAATATATCACAGAAGTACCCAGTCTTATAGCCCTCGGTTATGCCTTTTTTTGACATTTTATTTTTTTTAAGCTTTTTATATATATATATATATATATATATAAATATATTACTTTGTCAAGTTTTTTTGCTGTACAAAAGTCTTAAGATTTAAAACTATTATTTGTATTATATGATGGTGGTATGTTAATGTTACAAAATTATTAATGAAGAAAAATTTATTTTTGTTACTGGTCTGTTTCATAATTCTTTTTTAAATTCGTATATTGTAAGATATCTATGCAAAAAATGTTATGTGACGCATTTTTATTTAAGAATGTACTATGTGTAATAAACAGTAGAATGTGTTTGGCCTTGGAACGCCTTACTGTCTTTCTCCCTAGCTTATTTCGCTGTGTGGTGGGTCGGGAATGGACCCCAAACCAAACTCAGAAAGTAGAGACACTGCCCCCAAGTCCATGCTGATGCCCAGGGACCCTCTCGGACAGGGGAGGACTACCCCTGTGTGTGTCTGAGACTGTAATGCTTTACGGGCGTAGGAAACTGGAAAGAGTCATGAATGGGTCATTTTATGGACCCATGAGGGTTTGTTCTTTCTCAGACAAACATACAAAGTGGAGGGAAAAGGTTGTCTTAAGTCATGGTTGGTTGGTTGTGCTGTGCGGTGTCAGTTGGCCGCTGATGTGCGCAAATCAGAAGGGATGCCTGCCGCAGACAGTTTACTTGTCCGAGGAGGAGGAGGGGAGCAGATGGGTGGAAGTTATGAAAAGCAGTGTTTCAGGAGGCGGTGGAGTAGGAAATGCTATTTGCTTAAGGGATAAAGAGGAGCTCGCTGACCTCAGTTTATTTGATGTGTTTGGGGAAGGGGGGGAGGCGGTGGTAATACAATTACATTTGGAAACGAAAACGTGAAGCCATTTGTGGAGGAGGGAAGAAGGGAAAAGGTCAACGGGAATATTTTAGGCAGTGGCTCCAGACAGTGAATGAGGTGCAGGTGATAATTCCTAACCCAAAGGGGCCCTGGGGCTAGTGTGGAGTTCGTGTGTGGCCGCTAATCTCAAAGGGGGCAGTTCTAACCCACGGGCCACTTCAAGGGAGAAAGACGGGTGAACCTCGCCTATAAGGATGTGCAGTCTCTGAAACCCTAAGGAGTGGTTCTGTCCTGTAGGGTCACTGACTCAGAATCGACTCGAGGGCAGTAGGTGAGTTGGCTACATAACAAGCAGGGAGGAGGCAGCTAGCTAGAGGAAGAGAAATGAGGGCCGAGGGGGGCGCTTTTGCACAAAGAAGGAGAGCAGCCTTAGCCACAGAAAAAGGAGGGAGATGACAGTCCACACGGTGTGATTACCTGCATCCTTTGCCCAGAGACCCGCCCCAAGAAAAGCGGTCATTCGCTAGAAACCGTCATCTGCACACTTGTCACCTACATAAGCGAGACCACCGAGGGAGATTTCCATCTTTTGGAAGCAGGGGCAAGAGATAGAGTGGGTGGTCAGATTAATCTGATGAGAGGCCCTTCGTTAAGTGTTCATGCTAACCATCGTGATTGCTGAACTGGCTGAATGGGCACCAGGAATTGCTTAATCTCCGCTCAGGAAAGTGGGTCAAGAAGGTGTTGCAGTGGATTGGAACTCGCTGTAAGGGAAAGAGAATGAGAGGTCGCAGGCACCTTGCAAGTGTTTTTAAAAATTGTCAATATCCGCTGTCACATCATCTGAGCAGCTAAGCCAGTCTGGCACACAGTATCCCCCGACTGACAAGCAGCTTTGAGAGCCACTGACCCTGGTCACCAAGCAGTCCAGTAGCTAGATGAGTAATGTAATTCAGATCACTAAAAT